TCTATGAAAATTAATTTGCCTGTCAGTAGAGTCCTTTTTCATTCTCTTCCATTCTGCAATCTATGGAAATAAATTTGCCAGTCAGTAGAGTCCTTTTGTGGGTCAGTAGAGTCCTTCTTCTGTCAGTAGAGTCCTTTTTTATTCGCTTTTATTTTGCAATCTACAAAAATAAATTTGCCTGTCAGTAGAGTTCCTTTTATCTGCCAGTAGAATTATTTTGCTTGTCAGTAGAGTCCTTTTTATTCTAAAATATCATTGTCTTTCATTTTGCAATCCATGAAAATAAATTTGCCAGTCAGTAGAATCCTTTTTCTGTCAGTAGAGTCCTTTTGTAGGTCAGCAGAATTATTTTGCTCGTCAGTAGAGTCCTTTTTTTATTCTCTTTCATTTTGCAATCTATGAAAATAAATTGCCAGAGTCAGTAGAGTCCTTTTGTCGGTCAGCAGAGTTATTTTGCTCGTCAGTAGAGTCCTTTTTCTGTCAGTAGAGTCATTTTTTATTCTAAAATATCATTGTCTTTCATTTTGCAATCTATGAAAATTAATTTGCCTGTCAGTAGAGTCCTTTTTCATTCTCTTCCATTCTGCAATCTATGGGAAATAAATTTGCCAGTCAGTAGAGTCCTTTTGTGGGTCAGTAGAGTCCTTCTTCTGTCAGTAGAGTCCTTTTTTATTCGCTTTTATTTTGCAATCTACAAAAATAAATTTGCCTGTCAGTAGAGTTCCTTTTATCTGCCAGTAGAATTATTTTGCTCGTCAGTAGAGTCCTTTTTTATTCTAAAATATCATTGTCTTTCATTTTGCAATCCATGAAAATAAATTTGCCAGTCAGTAGAATCCTTTTTCTGTCAGTAGAGTCCTTTTTCTGTCAGTAGTCCTTTTTTATTCTTTTCCATTTTGCAATCTACAAAAATAAATTTGCTTGTCAGTAGAATCCTTTTGCCCGTCAGTAGAGTCCTTTTTCTGTCAGTAGAGTCCTTTTTTATTCTAAAATATCATTGTCTTTCATTCTGCAATCCATGAAAATAAATTTGCCAGTCAGTAGAATCCTTTTTCTGTCAGTAGAGTCCTTTTTCTGTCAGTAGAGTCCTTTTTTATTCTCTTTCATTTTGCAATCTATGAAAATAAATTGCCAGAGTCAGTAGAGTCCTTTTGTAGGTCAGCAGAGTTATTTTGCTCGTCAGTAGAGTCCTTTTTTATACTCTTTCATTTTGCAATCTATGAAAATAAATTGCCAGAGTCAGTAGAGTCCTTTTGTAGGTCAGCAGGGTTATTTTGCTCGTCAGTAGAGCCCTTTTTTATTCTCTTTCATTTATGCAATCTATGAAAATAAATTGCCAGAGTCAGTAGAGTCCTTTTGTAGGTCAGCAGAATTATTTTGCTCGTCAGTAGAGTCCTTTTTTTTCTCTTTCATTTTGCAATCTATGAAAATAAATTGCCAGGGTCAGTAGAGTCCTTTTGTAGGTCAGCAGAATTATTTTGCTCGTCAGTAGAGTCCTTTTTTATTCTCTTTCATTTTGAAATCTATGAAAATAAATTGCCAGAGTCAGTAGAGTCCTTTTGTCGGTCAGCAGAGTTATTTTGCTCGTCAGTAGAGTCCTTTTTTATTCTAAAATATCATCTCTTTCATTTTGGAAACTATGAAAATAAATTTGCTTGTCAGTAGAATCTTTTTTCCTGTCAGTAGTCATTTTTTATTCTAAATTATCATCTCTTCCATTTTGCAATCAATGAAAATAAATTTGCATGTCAGTAGAGTCCTTTTCAATTCTCCATCATTTTGCAAACTATAAAAATAAATTTGCCAGTCAGTAGAGTCCTTTTGTGGGTCAGTAGAGTCCTTTTTCTGTCAGTAGAGTCCTTTTTCTGTCAGTAGAGTCCTTTTTCTGTCAGTAGAGTCCTTCTGTCAGTAGAGTCCTTTTTTATTCGCTTCCATTTTGCAATCTACAAAAATAAATTTGCCTGTCAGTAGAGTTCCTTTTATCTGCCAGTAGAATTATTTTGCTCGTCAGTAGAGTCCTTTTTTATTCTAAAATATCATTGTCTTTCATTTTGCAATCTATGAAAATAAATTTGCCAGTCAGTAGAATCATTTTGCCCGTTAGTAGAGTCCTTTTTTCTGTCAGTAGAGTACTTTTTTATTCTAAAATATCATCTCTTTCATTTTGCAATCCATGAAAATAAATTTGTTTTTCAGTAGAGTCCTTTTGTCGGTAAGCAGAATTATTTTGCTCGTCAGTAGAGTCTTTTATTGCCACTTCTTTTTTACTTTTTTGTCAGTAAAATCCTTTGCCTGCTAGTAGAGCCCTGAATGTAAATAGAATCCTTTTATTTTATTGTCACTAGAGTATTTTTGCCTGTCCGTAGTCCTTTTGTCTATCAGTAGTGTCCTTTAATTTTAATGTTAATAGAGTACTTTAGCTCGTCAGTAGAGTCCTTTTGTCTGTCAGTCGAGTCCTTTTTTATTTTCTTATCATTATTATTAAATATTCTGATAATTATTATCAATATTATTAATTTATTTGTTATCATCATTCAAAATTCATTTAAGGGTTGCTTTTACCCAACCCTGTTTATATTTCCCCTCTACGTTTTCATCGACCGGCGTCTACGCGCTACCGTAGCAGCCGATTCAGTAGCCGACAGACTCGTAGTAGACGTAGACACTAACAATTCTAGTGTTTATTTAGTGGAAAAATAATAATTCTGCTAAAATAAAAAAAAGTAGTGCAAAGTCGTGGTAGCTTAGTAAATAATTTGTTAGTGTCATAAATTATAGTGGTAAAGGATAAAAAGAGTGGATTTATATATGGTTATATGTGTGTTTGTGTGGTTTTGTAGAGGTGTGTTGTATGGAGTTGGGTGTGTGTACGGAACCCTGTTGCTTTGTTTGCAAGGTTACTAGGATATTTGAAGTGAAACTTTCTGACTTATATCTGTCCTCGTGCTATGCAACCCATTGGTTGGCGTTTTAATAAATGTCTTGTAACTTTTGAACCGTTGGTCTAAACTAAATGGAATATTTAGCAAATTTGTGTTAAATTAAATTGTCTATGTTTTTTTCTAACACAGCTGTATCCTACAGCAACTTGGTATACTTTTAATTGTTAAAATAATCTGAATAAATACTTTGTACGGAACCCTATTGCTTTCTAGAGTTTGTGAATATGATTTTAAGATAGTCCTCGTCGAGACCTTTTATTTGATACCCCACATTCTTATATTTGAAGTAACATGTTTTTATTTATATTGGACCGCGAGTTCAGCAACCCATTGGTCGACATTTGTTACATATCTTGTAACTTTTAAACGGTTCGTCGTAGAGAAGTGAGTTATTCGACAAATTTGTTCTAA